TCCCAGCCCCCTCTGCTTTTCCCCCCGCCCCCCAGCTGCCAGCCCACAGCCCCCCCCGGGGTCAAGCCCCACCAGGGCTGCCCCTGCCTGCCTGAGCAGACCCCTCAGTCCACCACCCCCTTCCCAGATCCTGCCTCATTAGCTTGGTTGACACACAATTAAGGAGTCGACAATGAGATGAGCATATCAGATTGAGACCAGCAGCTCGGTGCTGTTGCCAAAGCAACCAGCCGGGAGACAAAACCCTCCTGTAAAACATTAATCATTGTTAATTGTGACATCACAGCTCCACGTGCTTAATTATGACATCACAGATCCACGTTGCTGATTACGACATCACAGATCCACGTGGTTAATTAGGACAATGGCAGTAAACACTGGGCAGGCTCCTCCACCACGGCCCTCCCCATTCCACCCTCTTCCCGCTCGCCTCGCACTGGTGGGAAGCATGTGCCGGGCTCGGCTGCTTCCCAGCACCTCCACTGCCCAGGGAGCTCCATCCGTGCTGGATGGACACCCCGCCAAGGATCGTGCCCTGCACCAGGAGGAACCCCACTTGGCAGTGGCACTGGCGGAGGACCATGGCTTGCCACCAGCAGGACCAGGAAATGGCAAAGAGGACACTGGTGACCCTGGAGGGGCTCCCAGGTGGGAGAGAAGGTCCCTCTCCTCCACGCTGGCTCCTGCCGGCACGGCTCTGTCCCCAGCTGCCAGCACAGGGCTGCCCTTGGCTCCCGCAGGTATCTCCAGCAGCCGGGGTGCCTGGGGCTGGGCTGCTCACCCTCCTCCAGCTGCATGGCAGCCACCAATCTCCTGGGGGAGACCTGCCAGAGAGGAAACTTTCCTTCCAAACACCCTTAAATCCCTTTTTTTGCTGTTTCTCTCCGTGGCCTGGGCAGCTGCCAGCAGAACTGCTTGTAAATGGCAATCCTCTGCCTTCTGAGCGGCATCATCCCACGGGCCTGCCGGCTGAGTGACGGCTGTTCCGAGAGGACCGAGCAGTGGCAGCAGGACAAGGATCAGCCGGGAAAGCTCCACAGACACAGCGTGCCCACTGCTTCATCCTACCTGGATGGCATATTGGCATATCCCACCCAGCACGCGCCCAAGGAGGAGCCTGAGCCTCTACCCTCTGGCCTCGGCCATGGCATGTCAGCCCTTTGGCAGCTGGCACAAGCCAAGCCCTGGGCCGCCCACTCAAGCAATGTCTGGTGACCCCCCCCCCATGAAAAGGAGAAAAGCACCATCACCCACCAACACACACCGCTTCTGCTGCAGCATCAGGGAGCATCTTGACACGGAAACTACATTTACTCTAAGTTAAAAAGGATGTTCTGCAGGCTGCTGGCGAGGGGCTCGCCAAAGGGGATGGGGGCCCCCAAGTGGGCAGCAGAAAGGTGGGAGATGCTGTTCCACCTGGCAGGAGCTGGGCTGAACAGTGGGCGAACAGTTCCCTTCCAGGGAACCTCCAGGAAGATGGAGAGCTGAGGGGGATGGAGGGGAGCATGCGGCCCCCAAGCCTTGAAACCAGCTAAGGGTTTGCAAGGTCTCTAGTGGGGATCTCTAAAAAAATAAAAATAAAAAAAAAATCCAATTTGGCCAAATTGGTGGCCTGAGGTGACATGGACACATTCCCACCATGGCTTTGTGACAGCTCACATAATTTGTGGTAATCTTGTGTCCCCCTGAAACCCAAAAGAGTGATCATGACCCCACAAGCCGTGCCCTGCCTGCACAGAACCCCTCCCATGTCACCCCAGGGACCCTTCTGGCTGGGAAACTGTCACGTAACCCCATGTCACAAAGCAAAGGTGCTCCTGAGAGGAGCAGCAGCTCAGGAAGGGGAAGATGGGGATGAAGCCTACCCACGTGCTGCTCTGAGCTGCCACCGCGGGAAAGCACCGCTGTCCTCACCCCCAGCAGCCGCCTCCCTCTCCCTCGCTCCAAGGGTGACAAGAAATCGAGTCCTATTTCCTTTCAGCCAGGCACTTTTTCACTGCTCTGTCACTTCTGATCACGTTTGAGCAGCCTCAGCTGGCAAATTTGCCCATTTCAGCAGCGTCGCTCTCTGCACAGGACACGGCAGCTCCGGTGTGGCCACCCAGCATGGCTGGGATGGATGGATGTGGTGGGCAGGGCCAAGAGAGGGAGTCGCTGCTGCTGGGGACAGTGTGGGGTCAGCTCTGGCAGGGGGGACACGGCAGCAACCCCCAGCTGTCCCAGCACAGCCCGGAGAGGCCAGGCAGGAAGTGCAGCAGGGCTCCAAGAGGGCAACCAGAGCCTCGCTGGAAGGTGTCTTGTGGGCAAGCAGACGTTCAGCTCTCACCTCACGTGCACGCAGGTTTCCAGCAGCCCTCGTGCCCAGTTCTCCATCCTGCCTCAGGCACCTTGCTTGGTCCCCAGAGAGCCACTGCCTATCCCCTGCACCCCACTTCCCGAGGCCGGTCCCTGCACTGGGAGCCAGGCCAGCACCTGGATCCAGCACGGCTCTTCCCTCTGGCATCCCTCTGGTGCCAGCCATCCTGTGGAGCCTCTCCGCTCTGTTCCTG